TCACCCGCGAAACTATTTGTTGGCGGTGACGTAGGAATCCCGTCTCGCGGGGCGTCGGGCGGAGCAACGTGCGTTCCGAGGCATCGGGCGTGGCCACAAGCGTAATCGACACATGCCTCGATGCGCGCTTCGCAGATTTTCTTCCGGTTTACTCGGCGCACGCATCGGAGCCTCGGCACAGTCGGGCACATCACTATCATTGACATCTGAACAGTTGAATTGAACACTTGATAGCCGGCTAAATATTGACATACACACGCAAATGCTTCCATGTTTCTGTTGCGCATTTATGTGTGATGTGATCTGGAAATAGACAGTCACCATTGGTTTTTAACGGCCAATCACTGCTTCTCATTGTTTTTTTGGTTTGAATGCAGCCATGATAGCTATTTATAGTCCACAATCCTGTGCTAGCAGGTACTACCTGCACACACACACACACACACACACACACACACACACACACACACACACACACACACACACACTCACGTTCACATTATTTGACTAGATTTTATTGCGGAAGTCATACCCACACATTTTATCTACAATGTTTTATGCGACTTCATGAGTCAGCATTACATTGTGTATCATATTGCGTTTGTGGAATATGAGTTAAGCAGCAAAATCCAGTCGTTTTTAGCCATCTCAGGCGGCGGCCATTTTGCCACTTTCTGCCTTCTGAAAGTGACTTCACAGTTATTCGGGCCTCAAGTAACGATCACAAGGTCACCTGTTTTCTGAAACTGAGCCATGATGTTAACTCATATTCCACATACGCAATATTAAACAAAATGCCTTGTTTAGGCTGGCGGGTCTGCATTGATCATATTCTTGAACATTTTGGGCTTGACTTCCCCTCTAAAGATAGATACATTCAACTTAGATTAAGATACATATATTACAATATATCGTACAATAGAATGAACCAAAATAATACATGTAAATCGCCTGCAATGATATTTAACAGCCAGCAGGTGTCCGTATTGAGCAACAGGGTGACACAGTACTGGCACAATATTAATAGTTTGGCCAATGTGGCCCAACAATGTTTCACAACGCCTCATCCAGCCACCACTCCACTAATGTTTAGTTAATAGTGAAGTCTGTGCCTTCAATCCATAATATTAAAAAAGCCCTGAAAATATTTTTACCTGTGAAAGGTCTATCCCCATGCATTTTGTAAATAAATACTGTTGGCGTCTTCAGTCCTTCTGTGGATCATGAGTTGTCAGATCCTGGTGTTGTCCAATTCTGGTCTTTGTGACTATTTTTGTTCTGGGTCTTCCGCTTAAATCGCATTCAATAACTGTTCTCAATTCTTATCCATCAGTGTTGTTGTTCTGATGTTACCAACCATGTGACATAGACCTTGGTGAGCCAGACATTTTACATGACAGTTTGACAAAAAGATCATTGTTGTTCCTTTCTTCTCATATTTTTAGATGCAGATCAGTATGACATGCAGTCAGTGACCATTCCTTCGCCAATGAAGAGTCCACCGCACAGATACAGTCCATCTCTATTTTCACATCAGGTATGCAATAATCGTCCACATGTACTCACGCCACCTTTACACCTATACTATCCATGATAGCCCCTCAATAGTGGATGAATAGTTTATTTTAGGATTACGTCATAGTGCGTAGCCTATCACTCTGCTGCCTATTAGTGATTTTTTTGTCCTTGTGTCAAGTCATCAGACGGACACCCGCAGACCGCTAGTCCCTCGTTGCTTCAGCAAACGGCCACATCCCCCTTTGGAAGTTGCTCTAGCCCCACGTCAGGCAAGAGCTACTACTACTCCTCCTCCCACACCGGCCCATCTCAGGACCACCCTCCATCCTCCTATCCCTCGCATACCCCAGCAACCTCATCAGACTCCAAGCTGCCAGGAGACTTGCTCCACCTGCAAAGCGGCAACAGTGAGGCGGATGATCACCTCAGTTGCAGCAACCACCAAAAAGTGGGCCGTTTGAACAGGAGCAGCCTGTTGGGGTCTCCTACCCCGGGACTGTGGGCCCATGGGCCGACAAACACAGACATGAGCTTGACAGCATCCAGGGGGAATCAACAGCAGGTTTCTCGAAACCTCAAGTCAGGCAGCCCGAGCTCAAGGCTGCTGTCGGCCTCTGGACCAACAAACTTCTCACAGCAAGGGACGAGCATCAGTCAGTTCCAGCGCTCTCCACTACAGGGCCCCGGTGTACGGACACAGTCGGGAAGCTTTTAGGACCTTGTATGTACCAGCTTGTACAAATCTGTGCGGCCCACTTACAGTACGCGGGTACTTTGGCTAGGAGAACTGTACAAACCTAAGTGGAGAAAAACTGATTTACAAATTTACAAACCGTTTTGTTTTTCAGCTTCCCCCACCCCCAACAACAACATTACATTGTGCACGAAACCAGTTGGCTTTGGATGTGATCTTGCAATCAACAATTTGAATGGCGCGCTGAAAATACGAAATCATTTAACTTGAAATAGTCCCTAGTGTTTTCTTGTACTGAATTTAGCAAATGAAAATTGACAAAGTTCCACACAAATGTCTGTACAAAATGATTAAAAGCCCACCTGTCATTCTACCTTGCTCAGTTGATTACTTGAGAGGCTCACATAACAGAAAGAGTTGTTTGAAATTATTTTCGTTTTTGTGAATACGAATCTTATTTGGCAAACGGCTGCATCTCTGCTGCAGTACTGAAGTGTTGGTATGGGAAAAGGAGACTCATGTATTAACGCTGTCAGGAATAGGATTCCTGGATCGGGTCGTTCCTCATTATTATCAGCTTCGGTTGTGATAGCCCAGAAAATCATTAAAACAGACCTTTTTTTTTCTTCCATGCTTTTCCACCTTTAATCCCATTTTGTCATGGTTAATTATGAGTTGACTCGGGACTTCATTGTAGACATTTGGCGTTGTACTTCAGCCAGCTTCATACAGTGTTTATGGTGCTGCAACTGCCACCAATAAATTCAGAATTGAGCTATGTTCCTCACACATGACTTAATTCACATTGTTATTCTATCTGGTAATATACGGTGTATATATATATATATATATATATATATATATATATATATATATATTTGTTTATTTTATTTCCAAATGACATTTGTCATACATTGTGGTAGTGGAATGCAGGAATGCAGAAAACGGTGTACGTATGAGTGAATGATCCGCTCTGGGGTTTGATGCTACCGGATTTTTAAAAAAGTAATTAAAACACACACACACACACACACACACACACACATTCCCCAGTTTCTTAGATACACCTGGATATATTTAGGCATATCTAAAAAAAAAAAAAAAAAAAAAAATTGGTCGTGAATTGTGTATACGTGTAGCTATTTTTCTGACCAAACCTTGCATTCCATGCTGACACCAGGGAAAGTATTTGTGCCAGTATTTGGAAGATTGTTTAAAAACTCGATTTATTTTTGAAAAATGCTGCTATGTTCTCCTGTGAGAGCTGCTTCCCTTTCTCTAGAATGCTGTATTTTAATACTCTTTCCCCAAAAAATGGACTTTCGGAAGAGTTAATTGTCCTGACTACCACAATGGAATCTCAAGTTTCACGCTAGCCCAACTGCAGCAAGTGTCAGACATTTCCTCCTGTCAACAGAGACTCACTATTTGTTGTACCGGCGATAACTACTGCATTTGTGTGGTATACCTCAAAATGGAGGGCCCGGTCGAGTAGCAGGATCCAACTTGCTGCAAAAATACACCAATACACAAAAGGGTACTCGGGTTACATGAATGTTTTGACAGACAAATAAAAGTGATCCAAAATGAACCAGCACCTTAAAGTGATCCAATTTATAAGACCCAATACGATGATATGTATGAATATAAGTACTTGTATAGAAAGAAATGTTATATAGACTTTTATGGAAAAATATAGTACACTGAATTTATCGCATGGTATTTGTTTTTAGGGTCTGTGTGACCAGTTGGTGGGAAGTTAATCATTTGAGTCTGTTCTTGAGTTCCCTTCAAAACCAGATGCTGCGTTACTTTATTTTGTGGTTTTGTAACAATTCTTTTTGTTTTGTTTTATTTTTACATGGATCATAGTAGTAACTATTTCAGTTGTTCCCCTCCGGAAAGATTTAAGAAACAAGTGATGCTAATGCAAATGTAATGCATTTTGATAATAAAATAATCATGACGGTAATGTATTTTGGAAACCTAGTCTTGTTTCTGAGTATGTTCGCACATATCCGAGTTGACTCACACTGCCGCTGATTGCTTTCTGCTGTTGAAAGCTGAAAAATCGAGGTAACGGTACATACTGAAGCAGCCAGTGGCTCTGGATGAAGAGGAAAGTGTCCCTTTTGAGCCCCCAAGTGGCAAACCAGGAGGTATGTGGTCAGCTTGACTTCGGGATCAGGACGCTCCTGCAGTGCATAGTCCCATGAGAAGGTTTGCCATGGGACAACTCTCAAGGGCAAAGTCCTATCGTCCACTAAGCCTGTTGAATATAGATTTCAAACTGTTATCTGAAGTTTTAGCTTGGTGTCTTGAGTCTGTTCTATCTCATTGTAAATCATTCCGACCAGACTTGGTTCATTCTAAAAAGACATGTTTTCGATCAAATTGTTTTATTCTAATCCACAGGCCTCTATTAAGACGAATAACTCTCGGTCAGGGTCCTTTCGCATTTACCACTCAATGAGAGACAGGGATGTCCACCAAGTCCCCTCTTATTTGTGCTGGCTATTGAGTAGCTCGCCATCGCGCTTCGCTCAAGTCCAACTATTGCAGGATATGATGACATGGTTTGAAAGCAAATGTCTCACTTTAGGCTGATGATTTACTTGTATATGTTTCTGATTTACAAATGTCGACTCTTGCTTGCTTTCAGATTTTGGCCGGTTGTCAGGGTATGAGCTGTAGTGAGTAAAAGAAAGTTGTTTCTTATTAATGTAACTGCAAACAATTTCCCTTTTCAAAACTTTCCTTGAAGATAGCCGTGCATAGTTTTAAAAATCTTGGACCTGAAGTTACGCATAAACCAGGGGACTTATTTAAAAGCCAACTTCGCTTCTTTGATGTTGAAAATTAAAGATTTTGATCGTTGGTTCTTCCTCAAGTTGTCCTGGTGGCTCGTATTAATTGCGTCAACATAATATTCTTCTCCTCGTGTTTTCTAGCTTTTTTAATATGTCCTCCTTCAGTTGGGTAAGCTCCCTTATTTCAGACCTCGCAGGGGAAGGTTCCTACTTCCTAGACTGTCCAGGCAATATTTACAAATCGTAATGAGAGATGACTTTACCAAAATTTAGATACTATTATTGGGCATCTGCGATTGGCTGGCAACCGGTTCAGGGTGTCCCCCGCCTACTGCCTGAAGACAGCTGGAATGGGCTCCAGCACCCCCAGCGACCCTTGTGAGGATAAAGTGGTTCAGAAAATGGATGGTGGATGGATTATTGGGCATCGAATATGAGGGTCATTCCTTCCCCTTCTGACTGGTTAGTTGTGGAGACAAATTCTGCAAAGCCTGTTTCTCTCAAGTCTCCACCAAATTTACCAATTCATTCTTCAACTGCTATTTATACAAAGAATAAGGCAGAAGTTTTACTCCTTTTAAGAATTGATTCCAATTTCTGCGCTATTTTGGTTAACAAATGTAATTTCTTAATGCTCCTATTTGCAGCAAATCATATCTTTCCTCCCTCTCTGACAGACAATACATTCGTCGTCTGGTCGAATCTTAGCATTCAGACTTTTAAGATCTTATTTATAAAAATAAAAAATAAAAAACTAACAAAAAAAACCCAAACAAAAACAAAACATTTTTGCCTCCTTTCAACAACTTAGGGTTAAATTTACTCTTCCACCACAACATTTTTTCAATGCCTTCAGGTTCGCATTTTTGCTCACAGTAACGTCCCCGCTAGTAACATCGCCGCTTTCGCTCACTTGCCCGAAGATTCTGATATAAATTATTTGCTTTTGCCGATTTCTAGACTAAAAGGTTCGATTTCAATTTCAAGACCCTTTGGGAGGAAATTATCGAGGAGGCTATCCCTGATGAGCTTTGGTTGCATATTCTAACATGGGTACATAAATCCTCCAAATGTATTTCCTTTAAGAGGCTGCTATTAAAAGCACAATCTTTTCATTTCAATGGTATTTAATTCCAGCTCCGGCCTCCTTGTGTTGAGTTTGCATGTTCTCCCCGGGCCTGCGTGGGTTTTCTCCAGGTACTCCGGTTTACTCCCACATTCCAAAAACATTCATGGCAGGCTGATTGAATACTCTAAATCAGTTGTTCTTAACCTTGTTAGAGGTACCGAACCCATCCAGTTCATATGCACATTCCCCGAACCATTCATTAGTTGTCACGGTTCGGTTTCTGGTCTGACCAGCAGGTGGCATGTGCGGTCTTCGGTGCACACCTGCTGCCAATCCAGTCATCAGGGGACTCTGCATTTAAGGACTCTGCTTCAGTTCACCGGTGTCGGAGTATTGTTTATTGCCTTGCTGTTTCCATGCTCTCTGACCGCTTTTGCTATAGTCATCGTCGTGTTCACGCTTTTGATACCTTCGGTAACATTGTTCTTGTATGTATGGCTTTGTTTAGTGAATTGGCTTTTTCTTGTGTGTAGTTGTTACATTGTTTTTCGTTTGTATTCTCGGGACTAGTTTTCCTCTCTTGCCTTTTTGTGCAAGCGCTTTTTGTTATTCGTTTTTGTTTTGTTCTTCCTGGTCCTTGTTTGGACCAGCGCTTTATGTTCTACTTTGTCGGTTCGAATTTTTGTATTAAACATTTTTGTAACGGAGACCTTGTTGGAGTCTACACTTTTGGGAGCCAAACTTATTTCGGCTTGTCCTAAACCTGACAGAATACTCCGACCAACATGGATCCCGTAGACCTCAACAAGATTATGACCGCCTTGACCAGCCAGGGACAACTGGTGGGCCAGCACGGACAAGCGCTCGCGGAGCTCCGAGAGGCAGTCTCCGTGCTGGCTCATTGGCTTGATAATTTGAGTTCCCGGAGGGAAGAATCGCCATCCTCAAGATCACATCCGGTAGCCACCGAGTTACCATCTTCCCCGATCGGGGAGCGGGAGCCTAATTTCCCACACCCCCCTCGCTACAGTGGCGAACCGGGTCTCTGCAAACATTTTTTGCACCAATGCTCCCTAATTTTCGACCAGCAACCTTCTGCTTACGTGAAGGATAGTACCAGGGTGGCATTCATAATGAGTCTTTTGACTGGTCAAGCAGCGTCTTGGGCTGTGGAAATAAGCAATGCTCAACCCGGGCTTCGGTCTTCCTTCCCCGAGTTTGTCACGGAGTCAGGTGAAACAATCCGTAGCCGAATATTCCATTTCTTTTCGTATTCTAGCCGCCCGCAGTGGTTACGGTGACCGTGCCCTGTGTGGCTTATTTCGCCGCGGTTTGAATGTATCATATTTCAAGGACGAACTGGCAACCCGCGATGACAGCACCAATTTGGAGGAACTCATTCATCTGGCCCTTGTTCTGGACAACCGCATACGGGAGCGTGAGCGTGAACGCGGGGACGAACCGGGAAACGCCCGTTTTCAGCCCCGACGTGCGGGTGGTCGGCTGACTTCCCACGAGACCTGGCGACCGTCCGGACCAGAGCCTCACCCCGGTACCGGGACTGCGGACGCAGAGGGGGAGCCCATGCAACTGGGAGGCGGACGTTTGGGGCTGGAGGAAAGACAGCGCCGGATTCGGGACCAGGCCTGTTTTTACTGCGGTCAACAGGGACATCGAGTCGCCGACTATTCTTTGACCCCGACCCGCCTGGCTACCCGCACCGACAA